AAAATTTGTATAAAGCAGTGTCTGCATATATGTTCCTCGTATGCTACCCGTATCTAGCTAGACCACCAAAACCTATCATATTTAGTTAGTAAATCTATCTCAAGAATCTATTATTTATTTGTTTACAAATGATTTTGTTTTTGGTTTTTAATTGCTTTTGATTTTTGTTATTGTTTTTTGTTTTAATCTCTTGGTAAAATAGGCAGAGGAAGTGGGTTATGTTGTGTGCAGTGGCAACATGTTTAGGATTTTATGCGCATAGGGTTCATAGTAAGTTAGTAATTCAAGGTAAAATACTCAAATCACGCTAGATGGATTTTTTATATAACGTTCATCTTTAAAAAATTTCAGGCAAATAATTATTCATTATGTTTTTCTTTTTGGTTACTAGCTAGATGTCTCTATAAAAATAATCATACAAACCAATAGAACATAAAATCATTTACTCATTCAGTTATTCCGAGATAAATAAATAAACAAACAAACATTGTGTATCAAATAAATATAGACATAATCACGATAATAATCAAAACTACACGATCATTAACTAGATATCGAACTCATCACAAATATATATTGTCATCGTCATTTATGTGAGTCGAACCGACATCTCCTCTAACCAAGTAGAGATATATATCATCTGAATCAAATGAGACCATATTACCAACACTATTGTCCTTAATTAATACTTTTCTTAAAATAAGAGTATCCTTGTAAGAGAATGAGAGTGTATACTTTCTTGTTTGACTGTTTTTTTTTAGGTCTTGCCTGACGAGGTATAAGCTTACTGTCTTTCTCTTTGTTTTGCTAAGCGAAGACTAAGTACAGTAGCCATATAAAATCTATCTCTAGGGAGCTAGCTATGGCTAGAGTTGCAAATGAAACCGATTTACGCATGCATGAAGACTTTGACCAGAAAAATACAAAACGACACACGTAGAGTTGGGCTACTTTGTTGGGCACTTGGAGGCCACCAGCTAACCCTACCTACGCAAGCAAAATGGCAAAGTATAGGTTTTGACGTTTCTCTTTCATTTCGTTTGTAATCAACTGGGGCCCTGCTTTGCTGCTGATTTTGCATGAGACGTTGTCTCTCTCTGCGTTCATTAATTCGTTGAGAGAGAGAGAGAGAGAGAGAGAGAGTACCTGAACTGAAAGGGACACACCATGACCATGCTTGCTTTGCTTCTCGACTGTTAAGAAATATAAATGATATATTCTTTTCGTTTTCAGGCATGCATGTACAATGTTTGGCTGCTTCCAATTGTAACAGACAATGCAACCGTGCAACTTGCTTCTATAATATTGACGTGGGAGCACAATTTATTTATGTTGAAAACGGTCTCTAATTATATTGCACTTACTTGCATCCCTGTCTTGTTCTGTTAATTAAATAATTAGCAACCACAGATATTTCTTGGGTTGTAATTAACTACTAGCAATAAGAACTAAGATTCTATGATGTAGACATTTAGAAAGATAATTTAGGTTCAAGTGGCCTTTGGCACTCTTCCAATACTAGGACCAACAAAGTTCTGGAAGGTTAAATGTACAATTTAAAATTATAGGTTGCTCTTCAATCTTTGAATTGGTAAAGTGTGACTTTCATTAAGGACCGGTGTACTAATTTGAGTATGGATAAGTCAGGAAGGGGTTAGTAGATTGATATGTAACAGTTGGTCAACCCTATTAGGTTTCTTCCGAGATAGTTTGAGACTGCTTTTGTAGGAAGCACTTATGTTTTTAAACATTTTTATTATAATAATGTTGAAATTTTTATTATAGATTCAAGTGCTTATTAAAAAAAACACTTGGAATTAATTTCTAAATAAGCACCTAGCATATGCTTCTTCAAAGAGCGATTTTATGACCCATAAGTACTTATATAAGTTTTTCTGCTAAACAACTATCAGTCCAAAACAAAAGTTTCGTGTTTCTAACCCTTAAAACCTTGTATGTTATTGAAAAAAAGCCAAAATTAGGTTTACATTTAGGATAATACTAGACAACCCAAATTTTTCTCCCAACCCACGTCACATTCTCACACTAGAGTAGGTTTGGGCACGACTCGGTCCAGATGATTTTTCGGCCGAAATGAGTACCTACCCGAGCACGTCGAAAATGGAAATACATAAACACTTAGCCATATCATAAGGCTCTACTGACTCTATGGTGAG